TCTAAACACCAATTGGTCGGCTGGTTATAGAACCTAAAAGCTATTAACATGTTCTTTTCTCACCATTATTATCAATAAACAGAATCTATACAGAATCTGTATCTATATCTATATAGAAATAATCGGTGTCCCAAATTGTCTTAGGCTGCTCATTGGGTATGTGCACTCAACTGTCCCGAGACATTTCAGTACCGATGTCAGAGAGGGTTAAAGTAGGTCCTTTGGGTTTCTCGACCTGTTATTTGTAATGGTAAGAACATCTAATAATAATGGTTCTTGCTGTGTGCAGCTTGAGTGAGGCACCCTGAATTCACTATTCACCAAATTACGGAGCGTGTTTATAGCAACAGTATGAACCACCTCTTAGCTAGAAATACCTCATAGTCAAGTTTTATCTTTATTAAAAACTTAAAAATCCACAGAGACTCCGCTTACCATGGTTTGCTTATTACTGTAAATAAAACGATACAGTTTGGAGTAGAAATGTATGTATTCTTAGTATTTTTCACAAGTATTGTCTATATATCGACTAATCTAGTCTTCTGGCAAAACTGATGGCTCAACACAATGTAGAAAAAACATGCAGGGCAACTTTAAGGGTCAAACTTAACTCATTAAAAGATCTCAATCAACCTTTTAGTAAGCTAATCCTTGCATAAATAAATATACATGCACAGTATGAATATCTACATATTGCAATAATTATATCGCGACAACCAAGAAAGTAAGATTTGAGCGAGCACTTTCCATGTGAACTTGCAAACTTGTAGATAATGTATTGCTAACGTTTGATTCTGTTAACTCTGATATCAATGTAAGGGGCGTATAGTCTGAGGGGGCGACATCGACTTTAATACAGCCAAAAATACTCTCGTAGTATTGACTTGTACAATCTCATGGCAAGGACCTGACAGCAAGTTCTATTGACGCTCTCATATTGTAACCTGCAGTAGACAGTCATTTTTCCTGTGCCCAAGTCCCACTTTTCATTTTGAAGGCGAACAAGTAACCAAAAGATGAAGTATTCTTTTCAGAGCAAATGCTAAAACTCACGTCAGCTTTGCATACTTAAAGATAGACACCGTTATTCCATTGTGTTTCTCGTGTTTATCTTTGAAACAACCCATTTTAGTTCGCAACACATACAACGAGGTATGTTTTACATCGGTGATCCTCTAGCTCGTAAGTGACATCACTTTCTAGCGAATATTTATTTGTACACTTCACTGAGCAGTCGACGTACCTGTCTAAGGTACAGCCTAATGATTGAGTTGAAACAAGCATATGTAATAGTAGATTTTAAAATGTATGAGTTCATGCTTAAAATATTGGTTCACTGAAAAAGCTTTTTTTTTTTACCGTTTTAAGCCAAAATTGAAACAAATATTTTTTCTTATTATTTTTCAATAGTATTCCTAAAGGAAATATCCGTTTTTATCAATGATTTTCTGTCATTTTCCTAATAGCGCCATGAACGAGTCACCGTGGATTCTCTGTAGTCTTTGGGCGAAATATCGAGGCAAGTAATTTTTACATCCTTCCATTGAATTACCGCCAATTACCGCCATTAAAAAGGCTCTGCAAAGACCGAAACCAATGATAGTTTCATAGTGTAAGATCCGGGCTATACGATGGATGCATCAGAATTTCCTATGTAAGCTTTTTCAATTGTTGCCGGGTGGCTATCGACATTGCCATCGGGGAAAACAAGGCTTTCTGTGCTCACCAGTTCCGGTCAGTTTTTTGGGCGGTTTGTGGTAATCTTGCTAGCTGTTTATATGTTTATGGTCCAAATTAATTGTTTCGCCAAGCGGCAGCAATTCATAATTCACAATTTCTTTCCAGTCCCATTAAACGTAATGCATCATCTTCTTTAGTCTCTGTCACAGATCTTAGAGCACATTTGTTACGTGTACGTTATTGTTTTATATGATCCGCTTTGTATCACCCGTAACCAATCGCTTCAGAAATGGCTCGATTTCGTCGTGTATCTCTAGAGTTTCACAGAATCGAGTAAATTGTTTTGCGTCACTTCATACAAGCACCCAAACATTTTCTTTTGGTAGCTAGCTTTCTTCAAGTAGTTTAAAACTTTTTGGCACTGAATGTATAGTTTCTGGTTGCAATAATTTAATCAGTTTTTTTCATAGTCGGTCGACTGCTAAAAAAAGCATCACTCATATCTAAATTTCTAATAACCTAAGTAGCATTTGTGCTTTCATCGTGAGAAAATTTTGAAATAGAGCACCTTTTGCAGAAATTTCACTCATCTTCTAAACGCTCTATCACCTAAGCCTAAATAGAGCATCCCAGTATATTTACGACTGCCGAATTTTAGCTTTCAAACAGCATCAACGCCGCGCCGACGGAACCTACAGCAACTGACATATATGACTTTAAAGCTGTCTAGTTAGCTAGAAAAGCGGTCAATACGCCTTCGACAACTCATTATAAGATACATTTAATAAATAGTTTATAAGCGAGGCCAATCCTTCAGGGTTAAACGTTTTGAGTGGCTCGTATGAGCTACCTTTAGTTTGCACAGGTACACATACTGTCACATGAAGCACATATATACATACGTAGCCACCGTTCGTCATCTTTCCTCGCCATTCAACATCCGTTCTCGAATCTGCCTTACCCATTCCTTTCAGGCCATAGTAGCGCTATCTACCTATATGCGGCAGGTTCCCATTATGTTTCTGAAAGTTCTTTAGTGCAAAGCGTTCACAATAAATTTATTTCAAACGAGCTAACGGTGGACATTCGTAGCTGTTCTATCACCATTCCGCCGCATCCCTTCAACAGGCGAAGACCTTTTCTCTTCTGCATAAGAAGGGAAAAGGAACAGAATTTAAAGTGGAACTACCACGAACAATCGGCAGGGAACAACGAAAAGTGAGCAGAATGTAAGTTTGCGGTTGGGTGCGGGTCTATGGACCTAGCCTGGGCGGAGCGTGAAAAAAAAAGTAGAACTTCTGTAGTTTACAAAAAAAAACAATGCGAGTCAGTAATAGTCGTAGCATTGTATATGATATAAATGGGTGAAACGTAAATGTGGATTCTCCAGGGAGCCGTTTTTGTATGTCCTTTGTCACACGTGCATATGTGTATGCATTTCTTAAGCAGTAGTTTGCTGTGTACTAAGGCTTTTTCTGCCCTATATTTTTCTCCATGCTATGGAAATCGCATTCTCTTAATTTCCACAACATTAGCAGCATGGTGCCTTCCTCACCCTGCTTCATTCTTTCAATATTTAGGAATAATGCACACAAGGGCGTTTTAGTCCCCATTCCTTAACACAATACCCGCGACACTAGGTAGCAAACTGGAGGATATCCCAGATGAGGAAACACGGCGCCACGAGCCCAGTGTGCCTGCGTAGATGGTTGTTCAGTGCCTGCTGATCTCTGATTGTTGCGTGGGATTGCAATTGACGAACCCTCGCCCGACCTAGGAGGGCGCGAGGACACGCCCCCTTTTCCGACTGTGCGCCGCAGACGGCTAAGACGGCTATGAGAGCCACTGCTCTGGGAAAGGAGGTGGAGAGAGAACGGGGCAACTAGCAAGAAGGGGAGAGCGACAATGCGAGGAGCTGTGGGAGGTATGCGGGGAAGAAAGCGAAGACACGTAGAGAGAGCGAGGTCGGCGAGAGAGGGGAAGTGGTGCTTTAGTGACTCCGCCCCAATCGATATCGAACAGCTCGAAACAAGCAGGAAGAGCCAAGCTGACGAAAACGTCACCCACTACTGGAACTAAAACGAATCCTATAACTATAAAGTATAGCAACGATAGCTGTTCCAGTCGATGGTGACAGAGTCAGAAGCTGTAGAACTGAGTGATAGCACTGCTAGACAAGCGGATCGCATGGACAATACTAGGTGCAATAATGACCGTAAAAATAGAAATACCTTCACCTGTCATGTGTACTAAATTTATTCTTCAATAGATAATAAACAAAAAAAACAGTAACTTACGTACAGATGAAAACACGTTAAACACCAGACAACAGCTGATGGAAATAATGAAGCGCAAACTTGCAATCTATGTTTAGAATAAGGCTTACGTTACCTTTAGTGTATACAATAATCGCAATAAATGGCGCCTGAAATGACCACTGAAAATAATTTCCTTTCGTATACATAGAAATTCCTGGGTTGTTTTAAATTTATTTTGATTACCATACCAGATGATTCTAACATATACCTCATATGTTCACTCGCTGCGAACTGGCGTGTGCGCCAGTGGGAAGATGTCGACATTTCGACATTTATTGTTCAATATTCTATTTATAAAGTGTGCAAATGTACATGAGTACATTCGTACGCCATTCGTATCCGAAGAAGAGATTATAAAAGGCGACGAGCGCAACTGACTGCGCACGTGTCATTTTATGTACACGGTTGTAAAATAGTAGTAGGGTACCAAGTTATGGAAGGTAGTAGAAAAATTATGTATCTTACGCAAGCTATATTAGACCATTTGCAAGTGCAGTCTTTCCAGTAGTTACCCTTAAGTGGGCTGAAAAAAGAGTCGGATTTAGCTAAACAATGTCGTCGAGAAGTTTGAATAATTCTGTCCAGCAGAATAAATGTAAGCTCTGAAAAAAATGAGACGTGGGTGTTTCATCATGGCAATAGACTGGCTCCCTCGTCGCTCATTGTGTTGCACTTGTGTTGTTTCGAACCCTGTACTCGCCAAATTTTACTCTATGACTAGAAAAAGAGCAACTGGAACCTGTTACGACAACCGATATCAAAAACTGTTTTAACGAGTGGAAGAACGGTGGTACTCGTTCATTAAATCCAAGGGAAGCTGTTTCAAAGCGACAATTGGGTGTCCGAAATTCTAGACATTTTTTCGACCCAGCAGGTAGACATATTCGTTTTCTCTGGTTGCGTTTCATTACTATGTGCTTCAACACTCGTTTCATTAGTTTAGTTAATAGTTTTTCCACTTATATGCCTGTTTTTTTCTATAATACATTTTTTCATACTAACCTGTACGCGTGATTCAGTTAGGCCGATTCGCATTGCAAGTTCTTCCCTCATAAAGATATCTGGGTAGTGCGTTTTAGAGAAACTTCGTTCTAATTCTTGAAGTTGGCCGGGGGTAAATCGTGTTCGATGTCGCTTTTGCTTTGAGGATCGTTTGTCATCATTTCCGCAGCTACTGGTTATCGTCCCTAGAAATAAATACATGTAATCTGTTATGTAATATTCATAGCGCATTTTACAAACATTTTATTATAAAACCAAAAAAAACGGTCTTTGTAAAGTGGCAAATTGTACTTTAATTCCTTTGCGCTTATTTTTTTATACACGAAAAACGTTTCTGTCAAGCCCCTTGGTCGTTGAGTAATTTCATAGTTTTCAAGGGTTTCCGCACCTGGAGTACTTTTGCTTTAAAATGGGAACATGACTTTTCAACGACAATAAACCTGACACTGTCCCCTTCTGTCACACTAGCTTCGAGGGAGCCAGCTTCGTATTACGTGGTCACTTTCGTATCATTTTACTGCCTACTGCAGTGCTAAAAATCACTGCAATGCATACATATATAAAAGTCCAAACAGGTACATTAGTTCGGCCTCTGGAAGTTGACAAGGTCGACAGAGACGAGTTTCGACAAGTAATACCAAAAGAGACAAATAGTTTTATCTTTTAAAGGTTGAAAGTAAAGTGCGATGCGTTTCCTAATACCTCGAATAACATACAACATTTTTTGAACAACCGCAATTTCACCGGAAATTTGCTGAACATTATGATGTGTTCAGCACGTTTGTATCCTGGTCACTAGGTATATATCGGT